ATCGAATCCAGAAGAGCTGAATAACTGCAAGACTTGAATCCACGTGGATTGATCATTTTGTAGTTTTTTAAAGATTCGTATTATAAATGATTTAAATCGCATTATGAGAGTCTTATCTTATGTGATGATAGATTTTTAATTGCTACAAAAAACTTTTATAAATTTACAATGATTTGTGTATTTGTATATTCAGTTAGTTCAACGAAAAAAGGAAACCTCGTAAAATATAAATTAAAAAGATTTTTAAAGTTTTACTTGATGTTTCTCTTCTTACTTATACATTAAAAAAAAATTTTGTTTAACCCTTTTACCAAAAAAAAAAATTTTCGCATTGTTAATCAAAGCAGTTTTGAATTAATTGGATGAAAAAATACGTAATTGGCTAAAACAATTATTAAAAGAAGAAAAAACTAGTGGTAATGATACGAAGGGGTATGTAAATTGTAAAGAGAGTTTTAAATCTAATTTTTCAGTTTTGAAATGATTTGCTACATGCTTGACGGAAAACTTTCATCATTTAATTTTGTTTATGACGGACTAACTGTTGATGGTTTTGAAAGTTTGTATTGTGTACTAACAACTGAAACTACTGAAAAACGTAAGACTTGCAAAAAAAAGTTCTCTGTGAGAAAATTCATTACCAAGTTTTTTGTATTTTTACTCGCTTGTTTTGAAAGGTTGAGAGTAATCAATTTCTGCATATAAGGTAATTTCATTGTTATTTTCAGTTACTCAAGGCAAAATCTTCTTACGGAAGCCCCCGCCTGTGCTCCTGTATCCTCATCGGCCAACACTGCAGCAACTAGCATCAGCTCTCACGTGTAAGAATAATTTTTTTACAAATAATTTGCTTGCATTTCATCGTTTTCATTCGATTCCCCATGATTACCTAGAAACATCAAATGCAATCGTCAAGTAGACCTAGAGAATCTGCAACAAGAGCGAGATCCCACAACATCCGCGGCTTCGCAAAACAATTTTGCGACAAGCAACGAGCAGCAGCAATCTGTGAATATTGCGCCAATAATGGATCCTAGGAATGATGTTGCTCTTCCAGAAAACGAACCCTCTTCGAGGTATAATTGATCTAGCTTTTTTTTCAAAAGTTTTTATTTCTGTAATTTTGAGGAAAATATTTTTTTTTGTTTTAGCATAGGGAAAAAGATGCGATCCGATGTAAAAGTATTGCTTAAGCGATGTCTGAAAGTATTGGAGTCCAAACCTGTACGTATTTAACAAACTTACCAAAGTAATCAACGTTTTTACATTATCGTTGTTACTCAACAGGAAAACGAAAGCTCGCTGCCATCCAACGACGACATATACAGTTCGGATTCGAGCGATAATGAATCGGAAGCAGGTGCTGCGATGAATGAAGCGGCAGCGAATAACAACGGCAACGCTCTCGTTGAAAACCACTTACCGGATTTCATTGAGCCATCTGCTGCGGCTCAAGTGTACACTTCTCCCTTACCAGAATTTTTGGAGCACGAATTTCGAGTGAGTTTACTTGTCTGTGTGTAATTAACTCTAATAAAATTTTCATTTAAATTTTCATCAATGGTATTTGTTATACAGGACGTGCTATCCTATGAAAACAACGTCAATTCTTTGGCAAATGTTTCTTCGACGACATCTAACAGTAACGTGTCAGATCACTTAAGAAATCATTATAATGTAAATACTTACACTTTTAGTTTATACTTTGTTTTCCATACTGTAAATCATGAAAACTCACAATAAAAATTGTTCATTAGTTACGCAGCAACGAAGAAAGCAACTCTACAGACTACGAAAACCACGAGATCTGCTACGAGGAGCTAAACGCCGATGACGAGCAAGATCGCGCTCTTCGTGCTGAGTTCGTGATGCTCGAGCGTGCTCAAAGCAACAGTAACAGTCAGCGATAAGTAATAGTCTTTTAAAATGTCTTGAGTATTCAACACATTAAAGTAATTTAGACGTATAGGAGAAACGTGAATGTTTGTTGATCTCGTGTATTTTTATTGTTATTTTTAAATGAGTTCCGTTTATAAATTACACTAAGAGTTTCGAAAAGAAAATGATGATCCTGAAATCGATTAATTTCATCAGATTCAGTTATATTTCATTAAAGAATAGTCCTTTAAACCAATTATAGATTAACGATCAAAGTAAGAAAAATCGCTTTCTTACGTTATTTTTACTTTTTGTACTTTTTTTTTTTTTTATTGATCATCGCTATATTTTTCAAGTGTAATGAGTGATAAAAACTAGTTTAAAATAATCCAATCTATTAAAAGAAAGCTTTACTATATTTTTTCTATATTCTTACTCTAAATACTGCTAAGTACGTGAGAAATTTGATGAGTCAAATGAAAATCAATGTTTTGTAGACTACTAAAAATGAAACAATTTTAAATGAAATTGTATGTGTTTAAAAAAAAACATAAGTATAATCTAGACTTAAAGACTGTCTCTAAAACAATAAAGGTAAACAATAAGAAAAAATTGTAGTCTTTTTTTTTGTAATGTAAAAAAGTAAATATTTATTTATCATTATCATTAATTATTATTAAATTGAACACTTTCCAGTTTATACCATCCTACTATGTATAAATGTGTAAATTTTAATGCTTGCTTAATTGCCAATGTATTCATCATATACAAACGAACACAACAAATTCTTGCACACCAGGGGATTCAACAACTTCATTGTGGGGATAAGAAAATTAGCGGCATATGCACCACACATCGAATACAATAAATACGTGAAAGATGAAGTAATTCACTAAACTAGTCTATCCCACTAATAATCTAAAACACCTCATGAAGTGATTACCTTCATTGGAAAACGCTTGTCAATGATAACTTGTTGCTAAAAATTAAAAAGAAAAAAAAAACCAGAAGGAACATGGTATCCTTGTGTATAAACAACATCGTTGTCAATCGGTTAGTTATTGTAATGAACGGTCAACCCGATACGATGAAAGAAAAAAAAAAACAGACTCAGAACTCGGCCTCGTCGTAACAGCCATCGCTACTACCAACAGCAGCAGTCGCCTGGTGATGATATGACGAACAACCGTGAGTTAACAGTAGCATATCCTCGAGTTCTTTACTGCTACAACTATAATTACTACTGTTTGCCGGCTGTAATTTAAGATTACCTGTCATCGCCATTGCAGCGGGCGAATGATGATAACTGATGCGCCGGCATTCGAAATCAGCTGCCGCGGGGCTCAAGCATAGAAGCGGCTCATGGTACATCTGGAAAAGTCCATGGTGTTCGGATTCTGTTGTTGTTGTTGCTGGTGCACCTGGTGATGGCAGCCGTTGCTCTTCTCCTGCACGATTGAAAAGACGTTTGTCAACACCGTCTCTGAAAGCAAAGTCTTCTTTGGCTTTATTCGATTTTGTGGTTCTCTTGTATGTGCACACACACAGCTGACATGTTGGCTTGCTCGTTTTGTAACTTTTTTTTTGTCCTTGGTGGACCCATGGGTACATTTCTTGTTCTTGTAGATCTTTGAAATTTAATCATAAAAAACATCTTTGGTACAAACTGTTGAGATACAAGTTTTAACCATTTGCTGTTAAAAAAATTTTCGACTACAGCTAACGAGAAAAATTACCTTTGCTATATATATATATATATTTGTGTATATATGTTCATTCAAGGAATGCATGCTGAGTATAGCGGCATTAAAAAAAGCAAAAGACAATAAAAATGTATTTTTAAGTGGGCCAATACCACAAAATTATAAAGGCAGTTAACAAAAGCACTGCTTACACAAAGAATGGTGATGGATAGTGTAAAAATAACTATTCATCATTGTGGACTTGTGTGTCTCTTTTTGAGATGTCGAGTGCACAATATGTACATATACTTAATCAAAGCTTGCACAAACGTTTCAAGTTTCGCAAATATGTAATTTTCTAGTCCAACGGTAAGTTTAAATTTAACCAAGGCCCATGGCAGAGCGAGAGAATCGTAAACAGATCAGCTGTCTCAACAAACAATCGTCTCGTTCATTAAACACGCGCGGTCGTAAAGAGGGGAAAAATTACCGTGCGGTCTTATATCAAATTTCAACTTTTTACGCGCGCGACGACGCACACAACCACAATGTATACTTACAAATATAAAAAATACAATTGCGTAACTGTTGCAGGGTGTGTTGCCGCGCGCACACAGAGAAGCAGATAATGGAAAACCCGGTCACTGGCACGTGCACGCGATCCCAATCCAATTTTTCTAAAGGGAAACCTCGGCCCCCTCTCCCACTTCTCGGCGATCTCGTTTTTGCATCACGTTCAATTGCGCCACACTCGGCCGACTTTTCTATATATTTTTTCTTGATTGTTAAATTTAATAAGAAAAAAAAAATAAATAAAAACAATGGACGTTTACGAATTTATCGATAATTTTCATGTATTTTACATTAATCACATTTTAATGATACGAGCGTGCTTTGATTAGATTCAATTTTATTGTCAGCACCACAAGCTCAACAAATAAAAATTCCCAATCAATTTAGTCGGCGTTATTTAATTTTGTGTTAGTTAATTACTCATCAAATTGAACGATCCAACTTTTGAAACACAAGCAAAGTTTATACATAATTTTCATACCTGAAAGCAACAAAAGCCACAAAAAAAAAGTAACAAAATAAACAAGCGAACAATGTCAAGTTGTAATTTATTTAAATTAAAAAAAAAAAACGTGTTAAATATAAAATTAGTCTACGCAATGATTATAAGCGAGAGAAAGCACAACCAAAAGAGACAGGAAAAAAAAAAAAAAAAAAACAAATAGGGCTCACCTTCACGGGACCTCTTGAAACCGTTCATGTAACCGGGCACCGGGTCGTCCTTCAGCAAACACCTTTTTCGTTTGATATTCTGCTTTTCAAGAAACCTCGTCTGTTGCCGTTTCGTACTGTCATCCTCCACTTCCATGGCCACGCTATTGTTGTTATTGTTACTGACATTACCGATGTTGTTACTACCATTTGTAATAACCGGCCTGTAGTCGTAGTACACGTTCGACGACGTAAACATTGTAAATATGTTGTAAATATTTATAGGTATATCTGTTTACTGCTTTTGATGTTTGGACCCCGTTGTTGCTGCTGCTTCCACGGAGATGGTGACTTGCTGCCTCGACACTAGGTATAGCCACTAGCGCCCTTATATCAACAGCAACACACATGCACACACACACAGGCGGTACTTTGTATTCGAGGTCGTTTTTTAATTGTAATTTAATTGGCTCCTGTACCAACAAACTACAATAAATGATTTTAATATGTACCGGCGCGTTTTCGAGTCGCAGGTGAAAAACTTGAAGACAATTCGTTTATACAGGTGTACTTACTTGTCGAGAGGAGAGGACGCCTGAGTCTGGCCTCGCTGTATTTATTTTCCGACTTTTTCGCTTACATCAACGTGCACACAGAAGAGAAAGTGTATTAGAAAACGTGCCCTACAAGCTACAAGTGTATCTATATATACAAGCACACAGAGTACTGCTACTAAAGAACGCCCGGTCCGGGTGAACGACACCGTTGGGTGTTATAAAATGTGCACTTTCGGTTCATGTAAGTATATAAGGCACACACGCGCGGCTTTTCTTGTTTATGCTGTGGATGTACCTAAGCGCAGCGATTTTTCTTTTCGGAGTGGACCAAAAACGACTGAAACGAACTAGAAACTAACGATATGAAAATAATAATAATAATAATATGCCATGCATCAGCCAGAAATTGAGGGGACAGACGGACAGACCAACGCGAGAGACTGCGTTGAACCAGGTTGAACTAACGTTAACTAATCTAACGTGAAAATAATACCGCGGTCTCGCGTCCCCCTCGGCGGCATCTAGCGCGCGTACTTCGGTGGAGAGTTACAGTGCCGTAGCTATAAAACGTCCCGTTTCGCCCGAGGTCCCTGAAAATTAAAACACGAAAAACGTTTTTGTTGACTTCCCATCAAAACTACAAATCCCCATAAGATAAGGCTTTGGGCTGCACGTTTGAAAATTATAACGTCCGCCACTTGGATCGATCGTTCCAAAATTGCTTAGAAATTTTTACTGGTTATGGATCCTGAAATTTCTCGTATACGCATTTATTGGACGAAAGAACAGTAGTTTTTCCAACGTACCCCCCTTTACTCGACTCCATGTAATGTTAATGGAAACAATAATTAGAATAACTTAATTTTACTCAAAATTTCAAGTAAAGATCACAGCCGTCTTCGACTAATTAATATTGCACCAGTTAAAGATTGTGTGGTCAATTCTTTCTTGTAATTAAACAAATTAAATGAATAAAACAGAAAATTGTGTCACCATTTGAGTTTAAATTTTACCGCCAACGTTTTGATTGGCCGCACCGAGAACGTGTTCTCATTGGTCGTATTTTGACAGGTGCGCGGGACACGCTGCGCGCGCGTAGCAGAACACACCTTATGTCTTCGAAATCAAACACACCTGCATGAAATCTCATGACGTAATCGAATCAAAATATCAAAAACACACACACGACACACCTTATCAGCGATATCAGAGTGTAGCATTCAATTTAGTCGTTTCGCTCTGTTCGCTCGCGGGTGAAGCGCAGAAAAGAGAGCTGACACGCGTTAAAAAAGTTGACTGATAAACACTGTACTTATATCGTCACCTAATAGATTTTTGGGTTCCCTGGGGAAATAAAAAGTGCGTAGCCCCGTGTGCGGTCCTTGATAAAACAAAACGCCAGAAGAAAAAAAAAAAAAAAGAAGAGAGACGTGCAATTGACAATGAAAAATGAAAACATGCGGTTATCCCTTTTGGGTGAACTTGTCAATAAGGGATAATAACAACAATAAACAATAGTTGAGTACAATGCTGAAGTGAGGTTATGCGGGAGAGAGGTACACAGTGTACACACTCGGGAAACAGTGTGGTGTATGTTCAGGTATATATACACAAGAAAAGGTGTTAAAAAACAACTCGTGGAGTCTATCGTGTTGTTGTCATCAACAACGACGGCACTGTCAACGTGTCAACTCTCCGTCGGTCTCGCGAAGGAGCAGAAGAAACGTGCGTGGAATTCATCAACAGACCTACAAATGCAAACGCTGTAGGCTTCTCGTTACATACCCACCCACCTTCTCTATTAACTTCTCCAAAGACCGCATTGTCACTATTGTATTCGCGAGAGAAAAATAGAGGCTCTGGTGTTAGTCGTTAACTTACTATTTCAAAAAAAAAAAAAAAAAAAAATTCCCCCAAATTTGAAAAAAAAAAAAAAAAAAACGGTGTTAGGGAGCCCCGGCTGATCGTCAAAATGGTTTTCGAATCGATAGTCACCGAGCTCCTAAACAAAGTCCTTGGGGAGTACATTGAAAACTTGGACTACTCGCAGCTGAAGCTCAGCCTCTGGGGCGGTATGCAGACTTTGTTTTATTTTTAAGTGTGTTATTGTTTCTGTTTCCTCTCTCTCTCTCTCTCTCTCTCTCTCTCTCGCGGTTGCACACACGTGCTGTTTCTGCTCAAACGTCATGTTATTATAATTAAGAAGCTCTTATCAGCCTTGATGATTATCTCTCTTTGTTATGGTTGTAAATATATGAAGATCCCTTTGTTTTTTGTTTTTTTCTTTTCTAGGTACCTTATACAGATGTTTTGTTGCTCAATATGTGTAATGTATGTGTGTATAATCCACATTCTATATGTGTCATGGTGTATCGTTTGCTAGTCCAGTATTATAAATTTTTTGATACGTTAGGTGATAAAGTAATATTACTTTGTACATCGGAAATAAACATGAGATCAGCAAGTGATTAATTGTGATAGGACATGTGTGAAATCATTACTATTGCAAGAATGTCGTCGGAATCATATCTCATATTTTATTAACAACGTATTTCAAGCGCTTGTAGTAGCAAAAACTATGTAGATTTTTTTTTTTTTTTTTCTTATTCTCATTACAAATTTTTTAACGACTACAGTCACAGTTTTTATTAAAGGAACCAGAAAAGTATTCACTCGAGAAGAAACGAAATAAAATTCTTCCAATAATTTCTGTCTATAATTTGTGAAGTAAATGACTAATGAGTTGATAAAGTTTTTTTTGTCTAATGAGAAAAAAAAATTGTTGGACAAAGATATTACTTGGTCAAAAAAAAAGATTACATTGTTCTCGCGGACTTACAACATTCTCAACTATAGCTTCTAAAAGAATTCCAATGTCTCAATAATTTATCACTTTCACGTCTTATCTATTAGTTTTCGGGCGCTTTTTTTCAAAAAAAAGTCATCATCGATTATCAAATTTGCCATTACTCACCGGAGGAAGAATTGCACTGGAACAATAAGTGATATGAAATATATATCGATTCTCATTGTTTGCAATGCTATTTTTTTTGTAGTAGCCAGCAGAAATTCTTTTCTCTCTCGAAATGAAAAAAAAAAAAAAAAAAAAGAAATGTCACCGTCTAATTCATACAGTGGTCCAAAAACCTATTGTTAAACTTTTACCGACTCTGTTGTTCCGCTCTACAAATGTACGAGTCATACGGATGCAAATTAATAATTTATACGCCTGCTGCCCTTTTATCGGTGAAGCGCTCGATAATTGCCCCGCGTGTGGGTAATACAAGCCCGTTCAGGTAAAAGGGAGCGATTACGAAGTTCTCGAGCACATGTAGGTACACTTATTAACACCGTGTAACGTAATTGTGTGTCGTATGTACAAGGCACGTATCGAACAAAACAAAGAGTAATTCATATAAATGACACCTTATCCGTGGTGTATATAATATGTTTCGTCCTCGAAGCTGTTATGTTGTTGCGTACTACGTATACCAGGTGATATTTAGATAGGCACAACACGTACAGCTGCACCACGTAATTTATATGCATATGGATCATTTCACGAAAAATCCATTATTATTTTTATAAGTTGAATGGGAATCACCTGATATGGTTTTTATTTTGTAAGGGGGTCCAAAAAAATTGCAAAAATGTTTGACATTTGTTACAAAACTCGTGATGACTTTTTATAAGTTTTTAACATGAATTACGGTGATGTCGAAACGCTAATTTTTTTTAACTAGCCCTAAAAAATTGGACCCGTGCAAGTTGTGTAATTATGCAATTTTATACTCGCAACCATACACGACGTTTTCGATATAGGAGAGAAGAAGTTTTGGGGAGAGAAGAAAGAAAAAAAACCGTAGAAAAAAATACATTTTAAATATTCCGACGAACAAGTCTAGTATTCAAATTTAGAGAGTTGCAATAAAAAATTTTTTGCGAGATTTTTTGGGTTTAAGTATTTTACATCTTCAAAAAACGAAAAAATTCCAGAAAATAAACAAATGACACGCCAAGATAACACTATTATTTATTATTTTTATGAAAAACCCGTTAATAGCTTTTGTAAATTAATTGAATTAATAAAAATTAATGTTTAATGACACTTAAGCCCCTCACAATTAATTTTTTTTTTTTGTTTTATCACGAAATATGTACTAAGAAATAAAAAAAAGTTTACATTGAAAAGCAGTTAAATAACTTTTTGTCTACGATAATCCAAAAAAAATGTAACAGTTTATCGTGAAACATTAATTAAATTTGCGTGAAACTATGCGTGTAACCCATTATCTCTATAAATGTATTACGGATAATAATACGTGGTGATAAATAAACGCACGTGCACACGTGTGTTGAGCGTCAAAAGAGCGATTGCGGTTTCTTTTGCGTGACATCATCATCCGTTATTATGAAAGTTAGTGTTTGCGGATCGTTTTGCCGAATGATATTATATTATCACGCTATACCGATTTTTTTTTCTTTTTTTTTTTATTTTTCATTTTTTTTTTTTTTTTTTGCAAAAAAAAATCATAAAATTTCGAAAGCTCGTTAGCATAGTTGTACTCGGTTACTTACGGGCTTTCTATATTTATCGGTGACGTTATTTTTTATTTATTTTTTTTCTTTAAAGTACCGTATGATGCAATATATATTAAAAAGAGGTGGTGTCGTTTGGGATGATAATAATAAACCAAGGTCCGTTTTGATGGGCTACCACTATTTTTTTTTAAATGTTGTATAATTATATCGAGAAATTCCTTCTCCTTTTTTGTTTTTTTTTTCCATGTATTACTCATTTTTACTATAATAAATGACAATAATGTCTAACCTGGTAATCGATTTTTTTTTTCTTTTTTATTATAGCAAAAAAATGAAAATAATTATCATTTAATTGCACTTGAAATTCTACCCTCTTTCGTCTTGTGGAAGTTCCTCTAAAGAATTTACATTAATGGGATTCAATCAGTAAATCGTGAGAAAACGAGATACTTTGATTTCAAAGTAAATTTAAATATTTTTTGGATTTAATAAGTAATATTGCGTTAGTCATTGCAAATTCGTAAATAATTTGTTTTTTCACTTTTTTTTTTGTACTTCACAGCTGTATGATTCGTTTTTGTCATCGGATTTTAACCACTTATACCCTCTATTACTAATATATTTGTTTTTTGCCTATGCGCGATAAATTTTATTCAAAATCCCCCCCCCCCCCAAAAAAAAAGAATGAAACAAATTGTAAAAAACTTTAAAACGAAGTTGTTGTTTTTTTTTTTTTTTGCACTGCGCAACAACCACAAAGACAAGTTACATAAAGTGTTAACTTCACGGCAGCTTGGTCAATGCTAAAAATGATTAATGCAGAGAGTGAGTTAAGTAGGTAACGTTAGACAATGCCGAACAAATCACGCTGTCAGCAGATGTCGTTTATTTTCGAGTAGATATATATACTGCACGACAATGGTGTCTATATAGTTTTTTTTTTTTTTTTATATTAGAGTGCTCTACCGTCCGGCTCCTTTATTAAGGGCACTACTATGGGCACTTAGCACTTGGGAGAAGGAAGGGATGAGGGGATGGGAGGCCTCACAATACTGGGAGGGGGTAGGGGGAAATTAGGCAATTTTGCTGCGAGAAGGTCGCCTAAAACCCTCCTCGAGGAGCATTGCGTGGTGAAAAAGCACATGTGAAAAATCGCAGATGTACTTGATCGTAAAGTCGCACTGGCTGGGAATTGAACCACGGTCTCCCGCGTCTCAATCCACGACCTAGCCGACTGAGCCACCGCGCGCTCACTTGTCTATATAGTTATTTATATTTGTTTAAATTTGGACATAAAACTTTATTTTTCATGATAAAATCCATACGTTACTGAACAAGATCTACTTTGTTTTTAGATTTACAAGTGTCACAAAAAATTGCTCCTTTTTTTTGTGTCAAGGTGGATACTAACTTAGAAAATTTTATTTATTTTTTTTTTTTTTTTACTAAATTATTTAAGTTTTTTAAATATTAACAATTCACTTAGTTAAATAAGAAACAAAACTGCAGCACCTATCAATAGAAATTATTTTTTTCAGACTACAGTAAAACTACTAGAAAAAATCGTCTCGAGATGCTCAAAGGTTCCTGGTCCCTCGTAAAAAATCTAAAATTATCCGACTCACCAATTTCTAAAGGCGCGTCGTCGCCTATAAATCACGACGTGGATGAATATTCAAAACGACACTCTCTGTTCTCGAAATACAAATAAAAATTTAAAATAAAATTCAATTTGTCCAATTTCAATTTTATTGCCTACATTATTGAATTTCGTATGGATGAAAAAAAAATCCTTTTCAATTTTTTTCAATTGAAACANAACGGTAATTAAAGAAAAATAAATCCAGCCTTGCATCAAATAAAGGTAATAATCTAAAATTATGTGTAACAAAGTGTTTCATTTTTAATTAAACTATATGTATACACATCACATCTCCACGAAAGTTCAAAGGCACAAAAATTCCAGTGCTTCAAAAAAACCACAGATAACGTTAATTTTGAGCAACAGCGAAGCATGTCGTGCCTCCAAAGTTATAGCGTCAGGTTCTTTGTAATTTTCATCAAATGGAAAAAAAAAAAAAAAACCTTTCGAATATATTTCAAGTGCCTGGCTATAATGAGCGCACTCTAGACTACAAGTGGTTTTTTTTGCCCGTCCGAGAGACAGAGAGAGAGAGAAAAAATAAGAGTCGTAATCATATTCCAAGTAAAAGAGAGAGAGAGAGAAACTCACAGTTGTCGTAGAAATAAAAAATTAAAAAAAATGAAAAGAAAGATGATGAATATTTCATGTGTCCGCAGGAGATGTAGTCCTCAAGGATCTCCTGATAAAGGAGAGCGCCCTCGACATGCTGGACCTGCCCATAAAATTGGACTACGGTCGACTGGGTATGTTTTCCGAAAAAAAAAAAAAAAAAAAAAAAAAAAACACCTTGGAAAAAAAAAAAAATTTTTTTTTTTTTTTCTTACTCTAAAAAATCCTAAAAAACTTTAAAACGAAGTTGTTGTTTTTTTTTNAAAAAAAAAAAAAAAAAAAAAAAAAAAAAAAAAAAAAAAAAAAAAAAAAAAAAAAAAAAAAAAAAAAACAATACTCACAAAAATATTTGTCACTCGGTAGGCAAGCTCGTGCTCAAGATCCCGTTCAAGGACATGTGGAACGGCCAAATAGACGCGATAATCGAGGAGCTGTTCGTCCTGGTGGTGCCGAGCAGTCAGGTGACCTACGACGAGGAGAAGGAAAAAAAGGCACAGCTCGAGGCCAAGCGCGCGGAAATCGCGAGGGTCGAGAAGAGCAAACAGTTGGACGATATGAAAAGTTGGTTCCATATATTGCTATTTTTTTTCCCCCCCCTTTTCGGTTTATAGGAAATAAAAACAAACAAACCAACGATTGTTGTTCAGATCAAGAAAAGGTGGACGACTCGATGATGGAGAAGCTGATAGCGAGGATGATCAAGAACATCCACGTCGAGATCAAGAGGATACACGTGAGGTACGAGGACAGAGTGACCTTCAAGGAGCACCCCTTTTCCGTGGGCTTCACCTTGAACAGCTTCGCACTCGAGAGCTGCGACAACAACTGGTCCACCACGGGAAACCTCAAGGACATGTACGCCATCCAACAGATATTCAAAGTAAGATCGATTCTTTTCTCTCTTGAAGTAAACCTTTTTTTTTTTCTTTTGCTAATTTCCTTTACTTGCGAACGCATATACAGTTGTGCACAATGGACGGCCTGGCCTTGTATTTGAATCCGTCGCCAAAATTGTTCAGCACCGAACCGCAGTCAGAGTACTTGAAGATATTTTCCGAGAGCATAGCCACAGCTAGTTTTGTACCTGTTGATTATCAATATTGTGAGTATGCACATATCGTTTGGATTTTTGCAGCGACTTGAATTTTTGTTTCCCCCCAGTGCTGGGTCCGATAAACGTGAACGCAAAGCTGAAGCTGAACCCAAAGCCCGAAACGGACGGCAGCAACTACACGATACCCAAAGTCTTTCTTGACTTGGAGATGCAAAAATTGAGGATCGGACTGACAAAGCGCCAGTACCAGACTCTCATGCAGATGGGGGAGGGCTTAGAACAGGCGAGGAACGCAGCGCCGTACAGAAAGTACAGGCCGAATCTGACCTCGTATCGCGGTCATTACAAAGAATGGTGAGATTCGGAGGAATCGGGTGTGTTTTGAGATGGTTTGACTAAACGTGTGCGATGAATTTTTTTTTTTTTTCTCAAAAGGTGGCATTTCGCGTACACGTGTATATTGGAGGAGCAGGTGAGGAGAGCCCGGCGAAACTGGGACTGGAATCACATGAAAAAGCACAGGACCTCGTGTAAGGAGTACGCAAAGGTTTATCAGAAAAAATTAACGTGCAAGCGTCCGACCGCCGAAATTGAACAACAATTGACGGAGCACGAGTACACCCTGGACATATTCAATCTCATCATTATTCGACAACAAATTGAAATGGAGGTGGAGAAGTTGGCGGAGAAGGAGAAAGAGCTGAGAGCGAAGCGAGGGTGGTTCGGATGGGTGTGGGGATCGCCCCAGCAGGAGGAAACTCAGGAATTGAACACGGCCGCGGCTATCAGTAACTATTTTTTATTTCTCATCATTTTTATCGGAGCTCGAGGGAAACTTCGTTTCGTTTTATCTTTTTTTCAGTGAAAAAATTCGAGGAGGCGATGACGGCGGACGAGAAGGCAAAGTTGTACAGAGCCATAGATTACCAAGAAAACACCGCTCCCACGCATTATCCCGAAACTTACGAGATGATAGATATGAAATTTTTTCTGCACGGTCTGCAAGTATTGTTGAGTGACACCGACAAAAGTGATCCCGAGGTCTTGGATTTGCAGTTCAACGGAGTTCAAACGGGATTCAAATCCAGACCGTCCGCCAATGCTATTTTGTAAGTTTACGGAATATTGAAAAAACATGGTGCTATTTTACAAACAATATCGATTTCACGCAGAGTAACAGCATCGATAAGCGACGTCAAACTCATCGGTGTTAAGCAAAACGACCAAATGCCTTTGCTCATCAGTTCGGAGAACGGTATAGGCTCGGAGAAGGAGTTGTTTTTCGGCTCTTTCGAAACCAATCCGCTGGACAAGCTCTGCGGTCAGCGTGTCATCGTCAAATCGAATTCCGCGCATGTTGTGTACGACGCTCAAACCATCATCGAACTGATCAAGATGTTCAAAGTACAAAATCCATCGACTCTAACACAGTGAGTCTATTTTGTAATATTTTTATTTATTTATTTATTTTTTTTTTTTCGAAACGCACCCCACGTTTAACCGCCTTCGATTCAACAGGTTGCAAGAAGCTGCGGCAGCGAAACTCGACAGTTTCAAGGAAGCCTCGGCACTTGGCTTGGAGTACGCCATTCAGAAGCACGCCGCTCTGGACATTCAAGTCGATCTCGAGGCGCCCCAGCTTATCGTGCCTTACGGCGGCTTTTACACGGGCAACGAGTCCCTGCTCGTTATCAATCTCGGTAGTTTGAAAATGCGCTCGCTCGAGAAGCCAAAGGAAACCGACGATCATCTGAGCGTTAAGCAGTTGGTTAGTATGGGAAAAACAGAGGAAGACATCCTGGCGCATCTCAGACAGCACAGTTACGACAAGTTTATTCTGAAAATCATCAACGTTCAGGTACGTCTACGACTCGCACTGTTTTTGATGAAAAAGTACGACTTTTTTTGATGATTGTAACTTTCACGCAGGCGCTTATTTCTTTGGCAAACGAAGACTGGCGAGATGCCTTGACAAACACCATCAGTCCGATAAAAATCTTGCAGCCTACAACGTTAGAGGTGCAGTTTCACAAGTGTCTGATAACGGACGATCCGTTATTGCCGAAAACTAGGCTGATAGGCCAGTTGCCCTCGGTCACCATAAACATAACAGGTATACCACTTGTTTTTTACTCTCTTTTTTTTTTGTTTTTTAACAAAATTTTTTTTTTCCGTAGAAACTCGTTTGCTCGAAGGTCTTGCTATCGCACAAAGCATTCCAATGCCCGAAGAAGAGCCATCGGAGCTTGCTCGAATGTCACTGGTAAAATATGATTTCTAAATGTCGATTGAAACGCGAGTAACAAAGTATTGATCGAGTGTTTTTTTTTGTTTCAGTCCAAGTCTGGATCGCAGATGTCACTTTTCAAAGAATTGACTTCCATACCGTCTCTCATGGAAAAGAAGCAGGATGAAAAACCAAAGAGCCCCATGAAGCAAACCACCGACTTGGAGGCTAAATTCGTCATGAAAGGTGAGAGAATTTTTTATTGTGCCAAAAAAATACTGTGAGTTCAGGAAAATTCATGCGGAAATTATATTTTACAGAATTCATATTGACGATATCAAAGCAAGAGATCGACGCGGTGACTTCTCCATTCTTTAGGTTTGAGTTGTTACAGCTGGAGGCTGAATTAATGCAAAAAACATACACCCAAGAAGTCATGCTGAGGTTGGGAGGCGTTCAAGTTAAACAGCATCACAAGGTCGAAGAAATTTTCATGATCAATACTCCCATGTCATCGGGAAGCGAAGATTACCTCATAGTCATTAGATTCATTAATGTGAATATTTTTACGGTTGCTTTTAATGAAACATAGCGTTGCTAGATATTTGATTTAATGAACAATTTTTTTTAGATGGATAAACGTTCACCGGATTTCATGAGACAAGGTTCAGTGGTAAATTTATTGCAACTCGAGTTTACGACTTTGGATGTTATACTCCATCAAGAATGTCTGATAAATGTTCTTCAGTTTTTATCCAATATTCAAGTGAGTGGATCAATTATAAAATTTTAATCATCATTATGTACGTGATATGATGTGAAAATTTTAACAATTACTTTCAGGATAACATTACTTCGGTGACAGCGACGATAAAAGAAAAGAAAAAAGAACAGAGAGTAGATAGAGTTGCTCATTTGTCGACCATCCAAGAAGATACATCGGTATTTATTAAGGAACACATTCAAAAGCAAAGAGTCATCAAAAATAGTTAGTAAATTCATTTATGAACTGAATTTTTTTCTTCAAATTGGCTTAATGTCAATCTTTTTTTTTTTGTAGGCCGAAAAAAAGTTCACGTTGAGATAACCGACCTGCAAGTTACCGCCAAGATTGACAGGATCAGTCTGAAAATGATGAACGAATTAAGAGACATTAGCGCATTTTACATCAAAGGCATAGCTGCCGGTTACACAATGAAAGCTTCACACTCCAAAGCCAATGTACATCTTACTTCAATTAGCATCAAAGATTTGAACGTCAAATCTATTTATAGGAATGTAAGTGTATATATTTCCCCTTTGAAACTAGCCATCAAGTTTCATCAATTAATCAATTAACGTCAAACACGTAGATCATATCAGTCGAAGGTTCCGAATCACTGCAAATTGAAGCAATAATGAATAATATCACTCCCGACGACATCGACAAGAATAACATGTCAATTACAGTGACCATGGGCTGTCACAGAGTCGTGTTCTTAAATGCCTTTGTTACGTCGGTTATGGTAATTTTTCGATATTTTCTCACAAAAGTTAACAACTCGTCGATCGCTTCCAAATCGTTTTATTAAAAACCAATCGCTCCGTCCAACAGAATTTCTTAAATAATTTCCAAGCTGCTCAACAAGCCATTGCAGAGGCGTCAGCTGCGGCTGCCGAAGCTGCCAAAACCAACATCAAAGATGTGCATCAAAGAGCCACTCGTATCGAGTTATCCGTCAATTTGAAAGTAAGTGTATACGCTTTGAATTTCACTCCACGATAAAAGGTGATAAGTACTAATGATGAAAAATATTATCCCAGGCGCCTGTAGTATACGTTCCTATGAATTCAACGAGCGAGCACTGCCTCATGCTGGACATGGGTAATCTCACGGTCAGCAACGATCTCAAGAGAATCAAAACCGACACACCCTCCGGCGAGTATCCCATCCTCGACGAGATGAACGTCGAATTGCAAAACTTGAAGCTGTCCCGAGTGCGGGTCAACAAAGAAAACTTCGCAGCGGAGAACGAGGTGGTGCTGCTGCAACCGGTGAGCGTGATGCTGCAAATCAAGCGCAACCTGTCGGCCGCTTGGTTCCGCGACATTCCTGACATCGAGATGTCGGGCCGAATGAAGTGCATCAACGTCTTGCTCAATCATGAGGACTACACCACGATAATGGCCACTCTGAATGAGAACCTCGGCGAGTCCGTCGAGGATGGCACCGTGGCACAGGCTGTCGTGCCCGCCGGCAAGAAATCCATCGCCGAGGAGTCGGGCAAAACTATCTGTGAGTGCGTTTTATACCTTTTCTCTCTCTCTCGGTACGATTTGGGAGTAATTATAAATAATGGCTCACAGTCAAGGCAGACGTCGAAGTTGTGAAGGAAACCAGCCACTTTGACCTGCAAGAGACGCATCAAGCGCAGACCACGATCAAATTTGAGTTTATCATGGACAGCCTCGTCATCGAGTTATTCACCGGAGGATCCCGAATGGTGTGCTGATTTTTCTTCCGGGAAATATTTCCCTACCCACTCCGTGACTAAATTGATTTTTTCTTTTTTGTTTTTTTACAGCTGAAAACGCAAAACTCGCCCTTACACCTGCCGCAAAATAGTCTAGCCAAGTTCGGTCTGACCTACTTGGCAGTCAAAGGGCGCATGTACGCGGACGGATTGTTGGCCACCTCGATTTTACTGATGAATTGCACACTAGACGATACGAGGCCAAATAGACAGGGTTCTCTGGTTCGGATAATGGAAAGGACGACCGAGGTACCGAAATTTGAAAGCTTGGCGGAGCAAGACGCCAAGCCTGTGCGGAGCATGCTGGATGTTACGGTCAAGAAAGAGGCCAATGATATGTTTGGTGATTACACGAATCTCCGTTTGAGAGTAAAAAAAAAAAAAAGAGAGAGATCTTAAACTCACGAATCACTTTTTTTTTCTTTTTTTTTTTTTTTTTTTTTTTTCTATAGTTGACGTTCGAGTGTTCTCCTTCAGCACAATAATATCGCTCGACTACCTAATGAAGATCAAGGCCTTCTTCGACACGGGTCCCCAGGCTTCCATGCAAGCTTCACAAAAAGCACAAGCTGAATCAGCCCTTAAAAAAAGAGCCGTCCAACCGGCGCCTCCTCCACCGCAGGACATGACCATGACGATAAATTTGCTCATCGAGAAGCCGGACATCATTCTTCTCGAGGACATGGATGACATCGATTCTAAGTGCATAATATTGAACGTAAGTGCTTTTGCGTTTACTTGACAGTGAAATCTAGAGCTAATGGGGTGGTTGGTTTTTTTTTTTTTTTTTTTTTTTTAAACATAGACCGAGCTGACCCTAAAATTGAGAATGACGGGCGAGCACCAAGTGATCAGTGGCTCGATCAAGGATCTTTCCATCTTGACAGGCATCTATAATCCCTTAAAGAGAACTGATTCGATTTACCAAGTGCTGCGACCTACGCGCATCAATATTGCAGGATCGACACCAGAAGGCAAGGGTCTGCACATCGATGTCATCAGTACTGACATTCACATTTCGGTCTCACCTGGTGAGTGTCACTGATTCAACACGTAAAAGTAAATAGTTGTAAACACAAAACAAACGTTTTCAGGGGTCATTGATATTTTGAACCGAGTACTGCAAACGGTGATTAAAAAAGAGGAAGAAGGCGATGAAGTGAAAAAACTCGAACCTAATCACGAGGGTCTTTGGATTATCAAATCATTCAAGGAAACGGATTATTGGTTCTTGAAGACTGGTAATTATAATCTGACTTTTGATTAATTTTCAATTTTAAAAAGAAAAGAAATATTAATTTTGACGTGATTTCTTGAGAAATGGGAACGGAAGCACAAGAGGGTCTCGAGTTTTCCGACGACGAGGAAAACTCCGTAGCGGCGTACAAACCCGAGCTGGCTATTGTTTCCGCACCCACGATTTTACTTACTCTCGAGGCTGGCGTTGGCAATAAAACCCTGCCAATGTTGCTTTTACACCTTGGTTTCCAGAGCAAAGTCAACGACTGGAGTACTAATACGGTGATTTTTTTTTTTTTTGCATCGCAAGGTTCTTTTTTTCTGTTTGCGAGTAAAAAAAAAATAACAATGATTACATTGCTATTTGCAGATGTACATCGATTCAGTGATTTCGGTGGTCATGGCGTACTACAACAGTCGGCTGGCGTTGTGGGAACCGTTGATCGAACCCATGGAGGCGATCGAAAATGGAAAACGTATTTCGACTCCCTGGGAATTGAAAACTAAGGTATTGACCGTAACTCAAATTTCTGCATTGATGATCAATAATCGCTTGATTAAATTTCTTTCCGACAGATACAATTCAACGATACATCGGTGGACACGGCAGTGACTGCGTTGGGTAGCACAGTCGTGGACTCTGATCTGGACGAGTTGCAACAAAAATCGAGAATGTCGATCGAAGTTTTGTCCTCGGAGAACTTGGAAGTGACAGTCACGAAAACGTGCTTAGATGTTCTGAAGCAGCTTGGAAATGCTTTCTCGAACGCCATGGAAGTTGAAAATAAAACGTCCATGAAGACAGTAGCACCTTACATATTGAAAAACGAGACCGGACTGGCCATGACTTTGGATTTGGAAAATAGCCACTTCAAGGTACAGCATCTCGTTGAGTTGTGCTTGTAAAAGTTGAATTTTCACATTTTTATTTATTTTTTTTAACTGTAGATTGCTGAAGATGAAGCTGGAAAACCTGTCAGCAATAATCAAACATACTCGGAAGTTATTTTAGAATCTGGAGCTTCGGTAATGTTAGCCTCGAAAGTAAAGGTCGAGATCCATTTGCTAAATGAACTGAAAGCCGATACGGTGAAAGATCGGGAAGCGAATAAATTCGTCATTTCGGTACTGTATTTAATTACTTAAAATTTTACTTGAAATATAACTCTGTTGTCGACAATCTCCAATCATTTCAGTTCAAAGACATCGGTGGAAAACTCGAAATTCCGATTCTCAGAGCCGACAAGCGATTCTTTTCTTTAAAGTATCGAAAAGAAGGCTCGGAGGAGTGGGGCATAATTTCGGACGTCGTCGTCGAAGACGGCAGTACAATTGTCACGTTGCGAAGTGTCTTGCAAGTGCACAATCATTTTTGCGAGCCAGTTTCGGTTTATTACATGACGAAGCGCGGCAACGAGGTCGAAAAAGTCGGCACCGTTCAACCAGATGAAAAATTAAATCTGCCGTTGGATGCTGTGTACACTCCGACGAATATCTATTGGTTGTTTTTCAGTATCGACGGGTGAGTCTATACTACTAAAAAATTGGAAAACGAGTACTCGAGTGGGACACTAATAATTTGATTAAAATTTAGCTACATGGTTTCTATCGAGCCGTTCATCTGGAAAGACCTGCAAAAAACCGTGTCCATGACGAAACTACTTAAATGTGAAACTCGCACGAAAATGGAGACCATAGAGCCCTTCTACATTCAAGTAAGAATTTTCAAGCCACACAAGCTTTGGTATTACTAAAAAAATTCACATCTCAGACAACAACACTTTCTTGCATCAATCTTTTACCCCGAAATTCCGTCACTTTAGTTTTCCCTAAAGATAGAAGAAGAAAAAATTCCACTAAAACACACACGTAGGGTATGTACTTGTTGAAATTCTAGACTCTATACGCGGTACTCGTCGTCGCTAGTATACTCTTTAACAGCGAGACCCTCGGTATGTTGCTAAGCATTGCCGAGCGGCGCTTCGCCGGGCGTCTCCTGTCTCGCTTGGCCCTCGGCTACTGGCGTGCCCAGAACGCCGATGCTACTACTACTACTACTACTAACTCCGCACAACCGACCACTTCTACTACTATCGCGAAACAGCCAGGATTGCCCATTCAGGTATTCCAGTCGTGATGCCTGAATAAAGCAAATCCTCTAGTTTATTTTTGTTCAATTGTACTGTTATTATTTTTCATTCCTTCTCTTATTTAGTATAGATTGTATGTATATTTTAGGCTCACTACTCGACAAAGCTTTTTCGTAGCTGGCGTTTTGTCAATAGGAATTTTTTTGTTTTCACTCTCTATTTAAAACATCTAATAGCTTTGATTGTTCGCATAGTGGTTTTAAATGAAATACGCATTTGTTTACCGATATTATATCATAATGTACGTGTTTATATGTAATACAATATCGCACACACCAACATAAATATATATGTATATAATACCGGTATCCCGTGTACACATTCAATTGAAAATCAAATACGAAGATCGTTAACAAACAAATTCATACTAAAGCCGATCTACATTTTTATTTGATTTACAGGCTGTGGGCGAAATCGAGCAGGTGTACTTTGAAAATACTTCGAGGCACACAATGGCCAGTACGATATACAATGTGCATCTGTACCCGTCCATTTACCTTAAAAATTTCCTGCCCATCGACATAATCATCTGTTTGCCCGGTAATACCCAGGAGAAGCGCGTCGAGGCCAGCACGACACTCCAAATATCCACAATAGATCCGAATCGCTCTAGCTTCGTCATCAAGGTACGTCTTTTCGATAATCAATGGATATTGTAGGAATTACAGAGAAACATGTTGATTTTTAAAACGTGTATTACAGCTGTCACAGTACCTCGAAAAGGACTGGTCGTGCAAGGTGGAGCTAACCGAGGACCCGCCAGAGTTCTCAGTTTGGTCGTTCGAGTCGTTCGACAGTGCGCAAAAAGTCATCATGGATCTGGGCATGCACACTTCCTACAAGCACGGCTCCATCATTATGGCGCTCTACTGTCCTTTCTGGATGCTCAACAAGACGGGCCTCATGCTCTCCTACAGAGTACTTATTTTTTACTTTTACCTTTTGCGGGGACTTTGGTTTACTTTATTTTTTTTATTATAGTTTATTTTGATTCCACGTGACTCGTTTAAAACTCATCAAAATGGCTATAATCAGTTTTTCTTTTTTTTCTAACGATATTTCCTTTACTTTTCATAATAGGATAGGAGTTTTTCTGGTTTTTGATTTTAACTTTATTTTAATTTTTTTTATTTTTGAGCTTACCTTTTTAACCAAATTTGCTTTGATACATCCAACTAAAAAGTTCTCTCCTGTGATATAATGTGGTAAGCTTGCGTTGAACAGACTTTCAACTAAAGACTGGAAGCAACGACTTCGTCAAGGAAGGGAGTGACAAAACACTCGCCTCATTACGTTAAAAATATTTGCTTACGTTTTACGTTTGTTTTTCAGATCATTTAATTGGCTTAACGCGTCAATCATCATTAACTAATACCATAGATTTCTAGTCCTCTATAGTGCGTCCATCAAAATTTTTACTGTCAATTCCCTGAATAGAAAAAAAAAAAAAAAAAAAAGACACTTACACGACTTTCAATTGTTTTGCAGAAATCAAGTAAAGGTGGCAAAGAGCATTCAAGCCCAATCAAGGTAGAGACAAACACAAAACTGCCTTTAATGTAAAAGTGATTCTTGATACGTTTATGTGTGCTTCTCTCGTAGGAATTAGGATTTTTAGACGAAAACAGACGTTAATTTTTTTTTCTTTCTTTCTGTTAGCTTTAGTTTTTTTTAAATACAAATTTTTTCAAAAGTCATGTAAAATTATACATCCCTTCAAAGTAACTGTCTTGTACATATAGCAAATAAACTCATTCCTCCTCAATAATTGATTTTCGATGTGTAACTTTCCAAATGTCAAATTTTATCATCGATGGTCAATTTTTAAATTGAAATAAGTGTCTTTAATTACTTTAATTACCAAAAAACGTTTATCTATTCTAATGAAAAATAATTTTCCAATGGGACACATTTGGTAACTAACTCTATCTGAGTAAAAATTTCATGTGTCATTAAGAACTACTCACTTGTGATCTATCGCTATCTTTAATATCAACATTTTTTTTTTCCAAATGGAATCTTCAACTCTCAATGTAATTAAAGACTCTATCATTTACTTTTCTATTGTCAAGACAAAAAAAAAATACAAACTTGTCAAATGGTTTTTAATTTTCGGTCTACGTTGTTTGGCTTTTTCCAATGCTTGAGAACACACGAATTTTTGTTACCTTGTATATATATTTTGTTGTCGATTGAATGTGACAAAAAGTTTAAAAAAAATTTTGTTCAATTAGCTTGCACCACGAAAGAAAAAAAAAAAAAAAAAAAAAAAAAAAAAAAAAAAAAAGAAAAGAAAATTCGTCGTCCAAACGAAATATTGAGCGCCGGACAACAAGCTCGAGAGAAACGAAAGAGCCCGGAGGTGTTGAAATTAGCCGCATCGCGATATCATTGATTGATACGCTTAGCCAATGGAGCGAGCGACGGGAGGTCGGGAGGGGATTAGCCGATAAAGGACGATTCGTCACTTTGGCTGTACATGGTAGATCTAATCGGAGGAAAAATAACACGGACACCTTTACCCGAAGAAAAACATGCTTTGCAGCGCGAGTTAGTGGGAAGGGAGAAAAAGCATATGTATAAAACATCCCCCATTGGNTATTAGTACGTATGGTAAGAGAAAATCAAAGAACCAAAAAATATGCATGATTATTATAATGATTTTTCTAATGCCAAGGCAATGGATGAAGATGAGAGAAAAAAATGAAAAATATCTTTTTGATGCTGAGGCAATAAACAAAGATGAGGTAGGAGAAGATAGAGAAGATTTAGAAGAAAGCCAAGATTGTTATAAGAGTTTTGATAACTATAATAATATAAAATATCAGTACGTTTATATTTAGCATTCGTCGAAGTTGGTAAGCGGTTCTTTAAAAAAATAGACCGATAAATATTACTATTTGTTTTTAATTTTTAATTTTTCTTCATAAACAATCGAGCGAATGAGAATACTTGGGAAAAGAGAAGGGAAAATGATAAGACGACGTTGATCTTGGGATGCGTAAAATTCTTGGCAGTGGGTACATGACGTTGAATCTAGTGCAAAACAGTGAAACATTGGTATATATCGTATCGGAAAAGCATCGTACGAACCCAGTATAACGGCACTAACGGTGGTGAGCATGTAGTAGACGATGGCCCGACCGCCGATCTTGCTGCTGAGGGACAAGTCGAGCGAGCCGATGGCGGATATGAGGCTGGCCATTATGAGGGGCAGTATCAAGCTCTTGAGCATCCGGAGGAAGAGCTCGCCGATGTAGTTGATGTACATGATCTCGCGCTCGGACCACTTGGCGCTCCGCGAGTTTTTCAACACGAGGCCGAGAGCGATGCCCGACACCACGCCCGAGACGGTCAGCATCGTCAACGCGTTGTGCTTCAGGAAACCGGTCATTTTTTCACGGGCGCTGCGGGGCAGTCGACTCGGCTGCTGGGGGTAGTACGAGCTGCGCTCCACCTTTGTTTGGCCGTCCATGCCGGACAGTGGCGACCTGCCAAAGGGATATTGAAGCTTTGAGTTTTTTTTTTTTTTTCTTCATTTACTGAGCATAGAATATAATTTTTTTTATTGCAGATATTATCAAGCGTTTTTTCGTGGCTCTGTTTTTTTTTCATCGCCATTGAACTGCGGAAAACAATCGTTCAGAAAATTGGATTTTTGCCAAAAGATTTTAGCTCGATTTGCGTTACTAAACTGTGTATACGTTTTTTATTTTGCTGGCTAGCTTCGTGTTTTTTTTTTTTTTTTTTTTTTTTTTTTTTTTTTTTTTTTTTTAATTTGTGTGAAAAATGTGTTTCGATTCCACAACAGATGATTGCGTGTTTCTAGTACGGGGGCATCAACGTCGATGTACAAATCAACGAGGGCGGAGTTTACATATCACTGTCAGCCTACACCCACGGCAATGCCCCGGCGTTGATAATCAACCACACGCAGTACAGCATGAATCTTTGGGAAAAGGGATCGATGAACGTCAGGTAATTTTAAACGGTGATTGTTAATGATTATTTTTTTAAATTAAATTTTCAACCCAACGCAGAACCGTCCACTCGTACCATCGAATGTTCTATACGTGGGAAAACCCAGCTGGGCCAAGGCTGTTGGTTTGGGAGGACGGAGCAAAAAAGGAAATCGCGGATATGCTGCGCAAGGACGTCCTTGGGGTCTTCAAGCTGCCCGATTACGACGTCGAGCTGTACTACGTGTCCTTCTTGGATGGAATTCAGCGAGTTTTGTTGTTCACGACGAGCCTGAAAATTGCCGAGGATTGTCAGTTGGTCGGTGACCTTGAAATCATCGACCAGGACATTACCCTGAGCATTCACGGCATTGGTCTGTCGCTCGTCAACAACATCAATAGATCCGAGCTACTGTACATATGCATCGCAAGGTGAGCGTAATAAACTTCGAACGAAAGACAATTGCACGCGCTAAGGTGTTTCGTTTGTTGTTGCAGCTCGGGAATAATTTGGGAGACGAGAAAATTATCAGCCGGCAGGTGGCGAGCTCTGAGCAATCGCGAGGTTTGCCTAATCGAGGCCGGGTATCAAAAGTACCTGAGAGAACTCCAGGTCGACAAAGAAACGCCGTATCGCGTGGCGTTGGAGCCGAAATTTGAGGTAGGCGTGAAAAATTGTTTTTGAAACCATCACGTGGACGTTGAGTAATAAATTACGAAATTCAAGATCGATTACTTGAACATGGAAATACTGAGGCCGCACCGGCGCTACCTGCGCCGTACCTTCCAGACGGGCCTCTGGATGCAGTATCAGACGTCGGTGCACCAGGTGCAGTTGCACGCCAAAATCAATAGGCTTCAAATCGACAATCAGCTGTCGGATTGCGTGTTTCCGGTTATTTTGGCTCCCATACCGCCACCGAAGAGTGTCACGCAAGATGCAGGTAACTTTCGATCCTTACGACTATTTAACTAAATCATTTATTCGACACGTGATTGAAAAAAATTGGTTTCTCTAATTACAGTTATGAAGCCATTTGCCGAAATGAGTATAGTGAAACGGTTATTGGAGCACAGCAACGTACAGCAGTTTAGGTATTTCAAAGTCTTGATTCAAGAGTTCCATGTCAAAGTCGATTTAACTTTCATGAATGCCGTGATGTTGTTGTTCGAAGCTGATGAGGCAAATGACGCCCAAGAGGTAAGTAATTCCACATAAAAATACGGAATATGTACTTGTAAAAAGTCGATTTGAAATTAATGAGTTGTTGCACATTTTCAGAGCGAATTGTTTAAAACAGATATGAAGTTGGTGGATGAGCCACTTCTGCATCACGTTAATTTGATAACAACTGCCGAACAAAAGAACTTTTTCGATTTGCTACATTTTTCTCCTCTCAAGGTTTGTGGGATATTCAATACTTCGTTCTCATCAATTTTCCCGTATACTAACGATGTAAATCACATTTTTAAGATTCACATAAGTTTCTCGATGACTGGCAGTGGTGGCAGTGGACCCTCGGCGGTTCCTCAAGTATTGAACGTTTTACTGCAGGGCATTGGTGTCACGATAACAGATATCAACGACATAGTTTTCAAGTAAGCGCAAAACCTTTCTTTCCTCGGAAATTCAACGAAAGTAAATCAAAAAACGTAATTTATAATCCCTAGACTGGCATACTTCGAACGAGATTATGTGTTCATGACAAACAACCAACTGATCTCGGAAGCAACCAGTCACTACACTGGTCAGGCGATAAAACAGCTCTACGTCCTCGTTCTCGGATTAGACGTCATAGGCAATCCCTACGGTCTCGTCATGGGTGCCATGGAAGGTGTAGGCGATCTCTTCTACGAGCCCTTCCAAGGTGCCATTCAAGGCCCCGGCGAATTCGCCGAAGGTCTGATGCTTGGCGTACGAAGTATGGTCGGCCACACGGTTGGCGGGATGGCGGGTGCCGTTTCAAAAATTACGGGTGCCATGGGTAAGGGTCTGGCCACCCTTACTTTCGACAAGGATTACCAGCGCAAACGTCAAGAGCAGCTCAACAAGCAGCCTGAAAATCTGCAAGAAGGACTTGCGAGAAGTGGAAAGAACCTCATCTCGGTAAGCAGTCCAATTATCACTTATCGTTATTGAAATGCTTTATAAAAATTGAACAAATTTTTTTCTTTGATCTCCAGGGCGTTGTTGATGGTGTTTCCGGAGTCATTTCGAAACCAATTTCTGGTGCCAAGGAAGAAGGCGTGGAAGGTTTTTTCAAAGGTTTTGGAAAAGGAGTTGTGGGATTAGTTACCAGACCAACCGCTGGAATAGTAGATTTCGCTAGTGGATCCTTTGGAGCTGTGAGGAGGTAAATTTACACTGCATAATTGAAACTTTGTCGTGGGTGAATAACAAAAAATAAAATTGTTCATTACAGAGCAACTGAACTGAACGAAGAGGCTAAGCGAGTTCGTCCGCCGAGATTTTTACAGCCCGACAGCTTGGTTCGACCTTACGTTCAAGACGAAGCCGAGGGAAATAAGATTCTTAGCGAGCTCGAAAAAGGCAAATACGCAAACACTGACATCTACTACTTCCACTTGTACATTCACAAAAGTGTTCTTTTACTTACGGATAAGAGAATAGCTTATTTAGAAAGGTGTGATCTCTTTGGTGGTTGGAAGGTGCGTCACTTTGAGCTTTTTTTTTTTAATAAAATTGAAATGAAGGTACTTGAGAAATCGAAAAAAAAAGTTTGTAAATACATTTTTCTCAGGTGGAATGGTCTTATACCTGGCAAGAAATCGACCCACCGCCACTAATGGTTGACAAAGGAGTTCAGATCTGCATTAGGGATTCACAGAGAAGGAGAAAGTTCGGAGGATTTTTCAGTAGTTCTGATTCGATGAAGATTCTTTTTATACCTGATTTAGCTACCAAACAGGTAATACATTTATTCTATTTTATTTTATTTAGTCACCAGCTTCGTTTTAATTGAAAATTTTTCATTATTTCCAGCTACTCTGCAGTAAGATTAAGGAGCAATTACGACAATACGATATTTAGGATAGGCCGACCAAAAAAAAATCCGCACGAAGTTTCTTTGCACAGTGTTTTTATTGCGGGGAGGACTGAAAAAAATAATTTTACTCAAACCCGCGGCGGATTTTTTTTTTCCAAACAAGCGCAATGTTTTAACAAACTGCTCAAGCACAAAATGAAAAATGTTCATCACTGAAGACTGATACGACGCTTAACGTAGAAGAAAGGGAATTACGGTCATCGAATTAGTCACAAATCACGAGAAAAAAAAAATGTTCTTCCCCATACTGAATCAAGTACACAGAATATGATTGTGATTCCAAATATCATGTTTATTGGGTGTATAGCCATGTATAGCCTTTTTACGCGTATATAATGTGAAGTGCGAGAAAAAGAGAATGATGAATGCACTAAGAATAATAATAGTAGCTCCAGCCATTTTACAGCCTAGTAAACTTTGTTAAACCATCGAATTAATTTTATTTATTGACTAATTAATTTTTTCAATCGTCGTGAGTAGTTCTGTACATTTTTCTATGAGATAAAGTTGTTTGTTACCAGTTATATTTTATTTTGTACACATAAATGTTGGTGTGAAGAGATTATAAGCTTTTTATATTTTTGTTTTAATTAATCACACAGAATTTTGAATGTAACTTTTATCAGATTTGTATCACTCGAAACAACATTTATTAAGTGTTGCACTGCTTTCTTCCAAAGAGTTTAAAAAAACTGCGCGCAGGTCATAAAAAGCCTAAACTTCAAGATGATTTTAATGATAATAAAAGATTTTTTTGTATACAAATAATGTCCTCTTATAAATGTGATGCGAACGACTGCTTAGTTTTTTTTTTTTTTTTTTGTTACCTAATTTTCAAATTGCCATACGGAATATGAAAATTATATATTTTATTTTGTACACATAAATGTTGGTGTGAAGAGATTATAAGCTTTTTATATTTTTGTTTTAATTAATCACACAGAATTTTGAATGTAACTTTTATCAGATTTGTATCACTCGAAACAACATTTATTAAGTGTTGCACTGCTTTCTTCCAAAGAGTTTAAAAAAACTGCGCGCAGGTCATAAAAAGCCTAAACTTCAAGATGATTTTAATGATAATAAAAGATTTTTTTGTATACAAATAATGTCCTCTTATAAATGTGATGCGAACGACTGCTTAGTTTTTTTTTTTTTTTTTTTTTACTTTTATAGTGATTTAAGTTAATTGGCGTGTTTATGAATGAGGAAAAAAAATCGTTTCCTACATTTGTTTAAACAAGTTCTTTATTTTTTCGAGTTACAACGATAGTAAATACATACACACATACATAGAACTTTTCTCACAAACGCTATACAGTGATTTATTATGCTTAAACCAACCCGTTTACTTTTTTTTTCAATTTTATTTTTTTATTTTTATTCACACCTGTAGGTCATCTACGACTGTATGTATATATATTGTTTGTGTACTTTAACATCGACCTTACGTTCAAGACGAAGCCGAGGGAAATAAGATTCTTAGCGAGCTCGAAAAAGGCAAATACGCAAACACTGACATCTACTACTTCCACTTGTACANTTTAATCAATTAAAACAGAGTACTTTCATTTTTTTTCTTTTTGTTACGTTATTGTTTACCATATGCATCGTAACGATATGCTGCGTTCGGATAGGATATTTTTTTTTTTTTTTTCATTTTTTCATTTTTTATTTTTCTCTTTTAAGTAAGTCCACGAGAAGTATATACCGTGAATTTTCTATCGTACTTAATTTGTACAGTCTCTTTCCCGCTAGAATTGAGAAAGCAAATAATCTTTGTACTTTGATACAATTCATTGTTTATTGTCGGTGAAACGTATACAGGACGTCAAAACAAAATGCAAGAACCAGATAGACCTTTTTTTTGTTTTCAGGAGGTATAAACTATCTTTTGTAAATTGTCTCTTAAAAGTTCCAAAGGTAAAGTTGATTAAACGCTATGTTATTATCATTTTTTTTCTTTTTTGTTGCGTCTTAGCTGCTGATTTTTTTCTTTTTTTGTTTTGTTTTTTGGTTTTCTTGTTTTTAATTATATTTTAGGTATACATTGTCACGCTGGTTACATAATACCAGCTTATACTTTCATCAAAGATCGCAGTTTTATTCACGAGATTATCTAGTATTGTCTTGGGTTTTTTATGCAATCGAACGTCGCGTTTCAATTCTCTGTAGTACCTGATAATTTACTACTATATCAATAAGTTAGTTGAACATCAACGCTTAAATCTTATTAATATTATTGTAATCTTGTATGAAATGACTATTTTTTTTTGTTTTTGTTTTTTTTTTTCAATTAAAATGATAAAAACCACAAAAATATTTTTCATTGTTTGGTGGCATATTTTAACAACTATCTTTGGCGATTTCAACATATTCAACAGTAAAATAATTTATTACTTTTAGTAGAATGGAATAATTGTCTTTTTTCAATGTAGAGTAATTCCAAAAGTTTTAAATCGTGTCCAAGACTAAGCTCTAGTATCGTCTAAAAATTTTGTTCACAATAAATTGTTTGATCACAGATGCCGAGATTCGCTTCAATACTTTCTAATTTTTTTCGTCAATTAAATAATTTGGCTCGTTTCATATAATTAAAAAAAAATTTTAGTTCAATAATCTTGAACTCGATATTTGTGCTGTTCAATCTTGTGAAGCGATAATTACAAAGAGCCTTTTATATATATACGAGTATAAATAAAAAAAAAATCTAAAATAAGAAAACCAAGGAAGTGTTGAATATTTCACACTGCGAAGCGTTGTTTACACATGTACATATGATGGAAAGAATTTTACGAGTGTTGAAGTAAAGTATGGGACAGATTGGTTTGAAATTTTAGACAGAACAAAAGAAAATTAAAAAAGAAGCAATTTAAGAATTTGTGAGACAGTATATTTTTTTCTCTTGTAAATTTTGCAAATATTAATAAAAAAAAAACAAAAAAAAATTCCGAAAATGCTATCATTTTTCCTAAGCACACCTACAAAAAACACCGTAACACGCAATTTAATTGCCAAAAGTTAAATAAAAAATAGTATTCCGTTTTTTTTTTTTTTTTTTTTTTTTTTTTTTTTTTTTTTTTTTTTTTTTTTTTTTTTTT